ACAAAGCAGTTATGATTGCTCTAGTTCAGGCCGCCATGCCTAGCTCTACCTTGAAGCTTCTTGGTGTATGTAGCGGACCTCTGGTTGGCCTGTGAGACCAGTCCCTTGGCCTCTTCTCACAGGCTTGTGTTGTATCCGGGGTAGTCCAGTCCAGGCCGGTACCTCTGTCGGTACCAGCCAGTCCAGTCCAGTTCAGTCAGTCCGCTGGGGTATACCCCAGCCAGAGTCTATACTTCTGGTCATTCTACATTCGCACATTTTGGAGTACGTGCGTTGGAGTCCGCGTGGGAGCTGCGTTGTGCCATCTTGCTCCACCCTCATCTTCCATCTCCATCTCTATCCCAGGCGGAGCACCTCACCCGGTGGGTCCGCCACAGTGGTATCAGAGCGGGAACGTTCCCCGCTCCCACCCACCACACCGCATAGCAGGAAACACAGCAAAACCCGACATATGGTTTTTTGGCTGTTTTTTGGCTGTTTCCAACGAAAAACAGCGGAAAAACGCGACGAAAAGCACAACAGGGAAGAAGTGACACGTGGTGAGAAAAGAGAGACAGAGCCACGATGCGTGCACAAAGGCCAAGGCCAAGGCCGACGCACACGCACACTCCACATGCCCCGCTGCCCCGCCCTGCCCCACTTCCGGATTATTTATCACCAAGATCTGGGATGCATGCTGCTGCCAGGGTTTGAACCTGGGCAGCTGTGGGTGATGCGCGTGCGTAGCTGCTACCATAACACACTGGCCACAGTATATGTATGGTTGTGTACTACGGCACGCTGGTCTTGAAGAAGTGTTGTGCCAGCTATTTACCCCCCCCCCCCCCCCGGAAGCGAGCGGCGAGCACCGACCAACAAGGGAGCAAGGGCCGGGCTGCTATTTGCGCCCCCCCCCACCGTGGCTGCTGCCGCCTGCACACGTGGCCATCTGCAGTGCCACATGGCAGCTCGCTGTGGAACTGAAGACCGCCCTGATTAGAGGGCTGCTCTACACTGGTGAGGATCTGCTCACACAGCATACCCTGGATCTGCAGTACTGCTGTTAGGGGCTGATCAAGATCTCAGCCCCCTCTCTCCTCCAGCTGGCTTGCTGCAGCGAAGGCCAAGACCCTCCTGGTCTTGGTATACCTTGTGCCCTTGGAGACACCAAGGGCCAGGTAGCACCTCCCTCTTCCCTCTCCCTACTAATCCACTTTCTGTACCTTTTCTCTCTCCTCTTACTCACCCCCTCTACTTCTTCCTCTTCTGCTTCACTCACTTCCCTCTAATCAATCTCACTACTCACTCTAATTTTTTCTCTCTTCACATTTTGTTTATTTATTTCTTTAATTATTTTTATTATTTATTTTTTTTATTTTTTCTCTCGAAATTTCATTGTTTATTTATTTTTCTCTTCCCCTCCCCCTCCATGGTTGCTATTCTCTTTTCTTGATTAGGTCACCGATACCCTACCCTAATCACTCAAACCTCGTTTAGGGTTTTCTTAGGCTTTTTCTAGGGTTTAGGGTTCTCCTAACCCCCCTACTTCCCCTTTCCATTCGGACACCCTGGACCCGAGCCACCCTTCCCCCTTTGCGGGCGCCTGCGCTCGACTCACTTGCGCCGCCCGTCGCTTTCTACCGCGGACCCCCCCCTACGCCCTCCGCTCATGCGAACCTCCTCTGGCCCCCTCCAGTCCGGCCCGTCACCTCCCCATGGTCGACGGCGTGTCACAAGCCGCTGTCGGGGCGACGACCTCGGCACCGGGCTCCATACCCGTGCCAGCGGACCAGGGCCATCACCCGCAGGGGGATCTGCACAGCCTCCTCACCTCCCTCCTTGCGCCCTTACGGGTGGAAGTGGTGACTTTTGCCGTTGGCCTGCGGGAACTCTAGGACGCTGGTCGTCCTTCCTCTCCTCACTCTCTCTCTTCCCCTGGCTCCCAGTCCGGGTCCCCCGTCCTCCGACATGGTGGCCACGACGGAGCTTCCTCCTCCGCTGCCGCCGACCCAGCCATCCTGGTGACCGTCCACGCTCCTAGTGCGATGGCTGCTATGGGCCAGGTCGGCGTACCCGCCCAGATTCTGGTCACTACGGCCACGGGACCACAACGCGCTGACGTGGTCTCAGCTTTTCCGGGTGCCCCGCTTCTCCCTCCCCTTCGCACGACCGGCGCGCCACTTGGCTCTCCCCCTTATGGGATGCCCCCCTGCCACTCATGCGTCTACTTCCCCCCCTCCTACTACTTCTTGCTCGATCTATGTCCGCCGTCTTGAGACCGGGCTTGCCCAGATCTGGGTCGAGCTCGCCCTCTTTTGCTTTCAACCACCCCTACCATCACAGGTAGCTGCGCCTTCGGGCGCAACCCCTTCTTCCTCTACTCTTCCATCCATGCAGGCTCGTTTCCCCCGTCCTGCACCCCCTCCACCCCATCCTACCTCCTTCCTACTCCCTTGGTTGCTGCGACCTCTTCTACCGCAACCCCCTCGCAGCCTGCCGCTGTTCTCCTCGCTGCTCCACCATGCGGCCCAGGCGTACAGTCAGTTGTGCCCCCTTCTCCAGGACCTGCGCCGACTTACTCGGCCGTAGCGTAGACCTCTGCTCCTTGATCTCCTTGCCGCCAAAACGGTGGCGCACCACTCGTCCGCTTGACGGACATTGCCTTGTATGACGGTACAGGGATATGCGTGTCCCGGTGGCTGCAGTCTGCCACCCGCATGCTCCAGCTCATGGGTGTCCCACCCGACACGTGGGTGGCTCACCTCTCCACACGCTTGCGTGGCGGTCCTTTCGACGCCTGGGAGGACTTCTACACCCACTCCCTTCGTGAGGGTCGGACCCCGACCTTCATGGATTTTCAGGCGTTCCTCGAGGATCGCTTCGGAGCCTGACATGACGTGACTCACGCCTTCGAGCGTGTCGTCAGTACACGCTGGTCCGACTCTGGTGGCGCTGCCAGCCTGGATCGCCACATCTAGGTCTTTCAGGACGCCCGCCTCATTTGTGATGTGGCGTTCCTCTCCGAGGCTGCCCTCGTCGATCGTTTCTTGGCCAGCCTCCCCCTTGAGTACCGCTCCGAGTTATGGCGGTACGACTTCACATCGGCCCCGCAGGCTTACGAGGCCGCCAAGGCCCATCAACGGATGAGGGCCCGTCTTCAACCCACTTCCTCCTCCCAGCCTCAGCGTACTGGTTACGCTCCCTCCTTCCCTCACGACACTTCCCAGTGTCGTTCCCCTTTCCACGCTCGTCCCCGCCGTTCCGCACAACAGAGCCGTCACTTCTCGCGCCGCTTTAGCGCGCTCGAGTATGGTGAGAAGGACGTTGTTGCCCGGCTGTCGTCTGAGGGTGACCATAGTGACGACCTCGACCTCTGCGACGCCGTCCACTACCACCTGGAGGACTCTACCCTCCCTATAGCCGAGCGCCTCCAGCTCGCCCTCTCCACCCTCTCCCGGGCACGCAGCCGCTCTAGTCACGCTGGCTCGTCGCCCCCCGAGGTCCCTCACCAGGACCTCCCTCAAGGCTTTGTCCCTCCTCGTGGTGTCCTTTCCGCTGAGGAGCGTGCGTCCATTTTGGGTTGGCGTGGGTGTTTGCGCTGCCGCCAGGACGATTATACCTCATCGCGGTGTGCTTACACCGTCACACTCGACCGCCACTACGCTGAGCTCTCTCGCCAACGTCGTGCTGAGTACCCCCCCGGCGCCTCGCATCCTCGCGATGCCTCCTAGCCACGGTGCAGTGTACACCTGCATCCTCCTCAGTAGTCGGCTTCCCGACATCTCCATCGCGGTTTGCCCCTCTCGCTACTGGAGTTGAGGTATCGCAAGAACCGACACAGTGTACTCAACCCTCTGTCGCAGTATCGTCTGCGCCTCCGCAGACCACCATCTCCCCTCCTACATCTCCACGACTACCGACGCGTCGAGCCATTCGCTCAGTCCATTGCAGCGAGCAGCTTCTGACTCACGAGGACGTTGTGTCCTCCCTTCTGGACGTGAGCATGCTCCAGGCTCGTTGGGAGCGACTCACCCTCCATGCCGTTGCACTGCGTCGTCTTCTCGCCATCCTCTTTGACCCTGATCGCGCCCTCCTGATCATTCTAGTACGACTGGGGACCTCCACGAGGGTGTACTTAGTGATGTGGGATTCTGGTTCTCAAGGCGACTTCATTCACCCACGTGTGGTGAAAGAAAACCGCTTACCCATGACAGGGTCACCGACTCCCATCTCCGTCACCCTAGGAGATGACAAGACCCAACGCTTTTTCGATCAGACGGTCATCGACCTCCCTTTCTTCCTCACTCTCGAGCCGATTGATCATCCCCCGGCGTCTCATCGCCACCGCTCCTCTGCACATTTCGATGTGATGGAGACGGGGTACGACTTCATTCTTGGTACTCCGTGGCCTTGTCGGTTCCGAAGCACCGAGGCGGATTGGGCGACCGACACTCTCGTTCTAAGAACGAAGTGTGGACAGACGTATTGCGTACCTTTTATAGGTACCACTGCGACACCATGCCCCGATCCTCCTCCCCCGGAGCCTTCTGTGCCCACACCATCTCCTACTATCACTGTTACCTCGCCTCGGTAGTTTGCCCACTCCATCCGACAGGACGACGTCACCTTCTTTACGGTGAACGCTACGGATCTCTTACACTATGATCCACCCTGTCCAGACGTCGAGCTCATCTCTCTGGAGCCAGATCGTCCTTCCATCTCCATGGCTTCCATCTCTACTTCCCTCCCTCCGTCATCCGTCGACTCCACCCCGATGTCGCGAGCTCACGCTGACGTTGAGGAACTCGCACGCTATACGGCCGACCTGGAGCCCGCAGTTCGTGACCTCATTTGAAAGTATCACGATGTTTTCCCATCGTCGTTCTCATACGTCGGCATCACACCAATGCGCAACGTCGAGCACTCCATCCAACTTGTACCTGACCATCGTGTTTACCACCAGGCACCCTACAGACTCTCAATCCCCGAGGCCACTGAACTCAAGCATCAACTTGAGGAGCTCTTGAGATTGGGTTTCATTTAACCCAACAACTCCCCATGGCGTGCACCCGTCCTCTTTGCTCGCAAAGCGGATGGAACTCTCTGTCTCTGCATGGACTATCGCGGTCTCAACCGCTACATGGTTAAGAACAGCTACCCCATGCCTCGTTTCGACAAGTTGTTCGACTGCCTAGCAGGCAACAACTTTTTTACGAAGATTGATCTTCGTAGCGGTTACCATTAGATCCGCTTCGCTGCAGCGGACTAGCCGAAGATAGCGTTCCGATCACGCTTCGGCCACTATGAGTTTATGGTGATGCCATTTGGCCTCACCAACACACTCGCTACCTTCCAGAGGGCAATGAACGACATCTTCAGGGACATCCTGGAGCTGTACGTTCTCGTCTACCTCGACGATATTCTAATCTACAGTCATGAGGAGCATCTCAGACACCTCGGCGATGTCCTTGACCGCTTGCACAAACATGGCTTCTACGCCAAGCTGAGCAAGTGCCGCTTTGCCCAACACAAAGTGGATTTCTTAGGACACTACGTGTCTGACTAGGATCTCCACATGGATGACGCGAAGATCACTGCTATTGCGGAGTGGCCCATCCCTACATCCGCCAAACAGTTTCGTAGTTTCTTAAGCCTCGCTGGTTACTATAGTAACTTCATCCAGGGATACGCTAGGTATTCCTACACCCTTACCTCTACCCTCCTTCGGAAAAACCAGCTATGGGCTTTGACACCCCTCCACGAGGACGCCTTCCGTGCCCTCAAGAAGGCGGTGACATGTGCACCGGTTCTTCACCTACCCGATTTTTATCGCCCTTTTATCCTTACCACCGATGCGTCAGACTTTGTTGTAGGAGCAGTGCTTTCTCAGATTTTCCCCTCCTCTCCTGATTCCTCTCATCCTCGTATCCCTTGCTTCCCACCCCCTACCCCTACCACTGCTTCCCGCCTAACGCCTACTCGTCCAACTACAAACGAGCCTTCTCTTGACTATTCTTCTACCATCGTCGAGGATAGCACTATCTAGTCTCGCTCAGGTCATTGTTCGATAGCCTTCTACACCCGTCAGCTCCTGCCCGCTGAGATAAACTACACTGCTGATGAATGTAAGGTTCTCGCAGTAGTTTATGCCACTCGACACTGGCGTCACTACCTGCACGGGGCACCATTCACGATGCGCACGGACAACTCTATTGTCCAGGCTTTTCTGACAAAGTCGAAGCTCACTCATCGACAGGCTCGCTGGTGGCGCGACCTATCCGAGTTTAGTTTCACCACTAAGCACATCAAGGGTGAGACCAATCGGGTCGCAGATGCCTTATCCAGGCTCCCTGACCATAATCTGGAGCAGATCCAACTCATTGCCATCTCGGTCACCACTGTCCACCACTCGGTGACCGATGAGTTTCTCACTCAGAACCGCCACTGCCCCGACTATCGCGACATCCACTCGACCCTTCGGAGTGGCAAGACCGTCTCGAACTACTCTCTCGGGGACGACGGTCTTGTGTACTAGCACGGTTCACAGGGCACCAGAGAGCCCCGCATTTGCGTTCCCTCCACTGGACAGCTACGTGTCCGGGCAGTAGAGTTCCATGACCAGGCAGTCGTCGGTCATATGGGCTTCCACAAGACGTTGGCTCGTGTGAGCCGCCTGTACGTCTGGCCGAAGCGCAATGACTTTGTGAAGGACTACGTCATAGAGTGTCCCACCTGTCAAGAGGTGAACAGTGCGAACCACCTGCCTTATGGTTTGCTCCAGCCTCTTCCTATCCCTGCGGGTCGTTGGCAGTCCATCTCGATAGACTTTATCAGTCCTCGTCGTCCTACTACCCCCTGCGGTCATGATGCTATCCTGGTCATCGTCGACCGCTTCACGAAGCGCGCACACTTTGTTCTGTGCCGCTATGTCATCAGTGCATGTGAGGTCGCCGACATCGTGTTTGACCGAGTCGTGCGGGACCACGGCTTACCTCTGAGCATCATATCTGACCGTGACCCGCGCTTTACTAGTCGATTCTGAGGACAGCTCCACGAGGTTTAAGGCACCCTGCTCCGCTTCTCATCGTCTTACCATCCCCAGACTGATGGTCAGACCGAGGTCACGAACAAGACTCTCGGAAATATTCTCTGAAAGATTGTTCGTGACGACCAGCAGTGGGATCTCCATCTTGCCTACGCAGAGATAGCCAACAACCACGCCTTCTCGCCAGCCACGGGGATGTCGCCTTACTATTGCGACCTCGGCTATCACCCTCGTGTTCCCGCAGACTTCCTTCGACCGTCACAGATGCACCCCGACACGAGTTGTCCCGCACTGGATGATTGGGTTGCACACATGACGTCGATCATGAAGAACGCGCATGTGTACAAAACCGCTTCCCAGACTCGCATGGCCGCATGTGCGGACCGATCGAGGATGGATCATCCATTCAAAGTCGGTAATGATGTGTTGATTGACGCCCGCCACTTACAGCTCGAAGTGAACACGCTTCACAAGTTCCGACGTCGCTTCTTTGACCTATGCCGCATTCTCCAGTCCATCGGTTCTGATACGACTTCTAGCCCGGTCAACTTCCGTGTGAAACGTCAAGCTCATGTGCACGATGTCTACCACGTCTCATTATTGCGTCCCTACCGCAGACCGTCTGAGCGTTTCGCTGGACGACCATACGAGCGCCCTCCACCCATCATGGTGGACAGCCACGAGGAGTTCCTCGTTTCATACATCATTGGTCGTCGAGTCACCGACGACAACCCTCCTCACGTCGAGTATCTCGTACGTTGGAAGGGTTACCCTGATGAGGAGGCTACTTAGGAGCCCCTCGTGCACTTGCAACACGCTTGCATGTTGGTGCGTGCCTATGAACGTGCTCGTCGTGCTGGGTTGACTGCTCCTCCTCAACCCACTGACCCTCCTCCTTCTCCCTCGGTTGAGGAGGCCGTTGAAGTCGAGCCTGCTCCATCTGAGGCAGACCTTCAGCAGCATCTGGATGCTTCTGAGCATCCACGACGCACTTGCCATTGTCCTTCTCGATACGACGATTGACTCTGACTTATCTTCCCACGTCTTTGCCTTCTCAGTACTCCATCCACTCCAGTTTTGCCGCTTCAGCTCGTCGACGTTGCGGCTCTTCCTCGACGACATTCCGGACTTCTCATCATGGACGTCATTGGCAACTTCCTGGACTTCGTCACGATCAACTCTGCCTACTTCAGACGTCGTCACTCTCTTACCACCTTACCATGTACCATACCCTGGTTGTGTCACATGATGGTCTCCCTTTGTCGGGTTCCTCTGAGTTGGGCTCTCCCTTGGTATACGCCTAGGCATCGGGACACCTGGCTTCCCAACTTACGGATCTAGCTCCGACCTCCCTCACTTTAGGAGTCATTTGTATGATTCCCTTACCCATCACTTTTTCTACCCTCTGCCGGCCCTCACACCCTAGTTAGGCAGCCTTGCATGCTTCATCTAGGTGCGCCCAGTATACTAGGCTCCCTTATTCCCTTGCATGGTCGACCTTACATAGCGGTCACCCCTTTAGTCGAGCATTACCCGCCCTGATGGTCTATCTATTAGGGTCATTGGTTCTGTTCGCTCCCAGTTCCCTACCCTCATTGAGCCTGATGACATGTGTCTCCCTATCATTATGTGTGGATGCCCTTAGGAGTTTATCGACCCCTAGGCTGCATTTGCCACCCTCAAAGACCATCCCACCCTATGGTTTGCGACACACCCTTCCTGTGACATATGGTTGTCTCTTCATTGTTTTGTTGCTCTTAGACTGAGGTCTCTGCCTTTGACATTTCTAGGATTTAATTGTCTTTGCTTTGTGTGTTTCGAGACTGAGGCTACTGCCTCCAACATTCTAGGATTTAGTTGTCATTACTTTCTGCTTTCCTAGGACATGTATACTAGTTAGTTGCTTTCTGCTTTCACTTAGGCTGTTAGCTGTGACATTGTTGTTTTTGCTATATTTTCTAGCCTAGGTTGCATCGCATGGACTCAGCATGGAGCTTGCTCCGCATCCTAGACTACTCGAGTTTTCTTTTTCTTTGGTAGAGTTCCGCTTCTTGGCGGAAGCGTGCTTCTATCTAGGCGATCCATCAAAGGCGAGGATCGTGTAGCGGACCTCTGGTTGGCCTGTGAGACCAGCCCCTTGGCCTGTTCTCACAGGCCTGTGTTGTATTCGGGGTAGTCCAGTCCAGGCCCGCACCTCTGTCGGGACCAGCCAGTCCAGTCCAGTCCAGTCCAGTCCAGTCCAGTCCAGTCCAGTCCAGTCCAGTCCAGTCTAGTCAGTCCGCTGGGGTATACCCCAGCCAGAGTCTGTACTTTGGGTCATTCTACATTCACACATTTTGGAGTACGAGAGTTGGAGTCCGCGTGGGAGCTGCGCTGTGCCATCTTGCTCCACCCTCACCCTCCATCTCCATCTCTATCCCAGGCGGAGCACCTCACCTGGTGGGTCCGCCACAGTGTAGCTCTAAACCAACTGGGGCCTTCCAGATGCAGCGCCCGCCAAGGTGAGGAAGATGGTGTCCACCATAGCCAGGTAAGTACCTTTGGTGCTCCCCCTTCCTAGTCGTCGGCTTCCTCCTCATCCGGGCCGTGCTCCTCCTCCACAACCAAGGTGGGGAGCTGGGCGCTCCCTCCTCCCCAGCAGCGCTGCTCCAACCAATGCTGCTCCAGCCAGCGCTCTAAGCAGTGTGTCGCCAAACTTGCACACAGAAGAATGAGGAGGAGATCTCTTACTCCTCCAGGAGATATAACGGCCTGCTTGCCTCTTGGTTGGTGACTTCCAGGCCGTGCGGCCTTCAAGCAACCGGTACCTCCTGCCCTTCGGAGGGAAACATCATTGCCGACTCTGATATTGCCCGTACAGGCCCTAGACTCTGACTGGTTGGACTGGTACCCCCCTAGACCTAGCCTACAACTACTGGGCCTCTAAAAATGCCAACTGTTGTCTTCTTCTACTCGGCCTGGCACATCTACCTCTACTTGGTGTGGTACCAGCATTGCTGCTACTTGAGTGTTTTTCCGCTGCTCTAAGTGTTGCTGGCCTCTTTCCCCGCCACTTAAGTGTTTCCTGGCTGCAACCCTCAATTCGACGGCCACAGGTAAGTACCGGCCCTTCGGGCCTCCCGTACAGATGAGTACCCTTGTGGGTCACACACACACTCAAACCGACAGGCACTCAGGCAGGCACGCAGACCAGCAAGCACGCACACACACAGACTTAGAAAACTCAGCAACAATTGGGAAACTCAGCAAGGCATACATTCCATTGGCAAAACTCAGAAATCAGCTGTGTGTCTCAGTCCGTGTTTGGCAAGTCCTTACACTCTTCATAGCTTCAAATAATTATCTTCAAAATAGCCACCCAACAGAAGATCTCCGATTGCAGATTTCCAGCTCACTTTGTTTGTGGTATCTGGGCAGGCTGTTGTTTTTGTGAGCCCCGTAATTAGTTGGGGGATTGGGCAGCTGCGGGAAGGCTGGAACATGCACAAGAAAGGCCTCATCCGATACCAATGCAGTGCCATCAGTGTGGGCTAGAGGTGATGGAGATGGTGTGCAAGGTGGGATGGACATCACCCCCTACACCATGGACAGCAAACCTCGATAACAGCAATGATGCAAGCCAAAACAAAGAATGAATGAATGCAAAAGTTGACCAAACGTGTGAATAAAATTTGATTTAGGGCTACACTCTAGCAGGCAGGCGGAGCCTGCAGCCCGGTACTGGGCAGTGGGGCCAGGCTGATAACCTGGTCACACTGGCCAGTACTACAGGCAGGGCCAAACAGGCAGGGCTTGAGTGGTACCGGTACACATGACGAGCGACCAGCGAGTGCACCTACTGGTTGCACTTCGGCACAAAAAGACTGAAGCCAGAAATCAGATCTTCTCACTATTTCCCTGGGCTGCCGTCACCTGCCTATTTGTACTCAAGGCAGGTTGTATGCCTACATTTCAGAAGCTTCTACTGTATCCTAGGCTTTTGACATGATGTATGGGGCTCTCTACTAGACCATTTCAGACTTCTACCTACCATCTGCAGATTTTGCGCATCTTGAGGGGGGTCTTGCATGGTTGTTTTTGCCATCAATACATCTGGTTTGTTGTCCTTCTTGTCTTGCATTGTTGACAATGTCAGGAAGGCTTTTCCTGTAACCTGAAAGCCAATCATGGGAAACTTGGGAGTCAGTAGAAGGCAGCGATGAGTTAGCAATCCTTACCAGGAATCACTCTCACAACGGGCCCAAAATTGGTATTTAGAACCTTCTCGTAACCAATATCGATGAAGAATGCATATGTTCCACTCGTCTTGAGCGATAGACAGACAAAGTATGCAGAGTGCGAATATTGATAGGACTCCGCAGCTTGTTTGTTATGGCGATTTTCGAAGGAGCAACCAGAAGCACTTGAATGATCCCTTGCTTCTAGTACCTGCAGAGTTAAGATGTGTGCAGACAAGCAATGTCACCAACTTGGAGCGTAGAAATGTGCATGCATTAAAAAGCCTTGCTATGACATGAACGGTTTAGGTGATAATCTAGGGGATATATCAGCAACACGTTTATACTCTAGGTACACAATTGTCTAGGACTGCCTTGTGAAAGTGTGAGTATGCACCCCCTTGTCCTTTTCCAATCAGGGCAGGTATACCTGTTATGATCCTGGCTATCTTGCAGTGCAATAACTCAAAGAAAGGCAATGCCATTCAATTGCAACTGAAATGAAAGAAGTTGGAAAGAGAAGTAGACAAAGGAAGAAGACGAAATAAGACTGGAAGAAGAAGAAGAAGCTGAACACGAGCAAAGACCAATGTCAATCCCCCCTTCATCTTGGCACCATCTCTCCCCCAATTTCTTCTTAAATGATCCTGGCCAATTCCGAAGGTCAAATACACAAGGAAAGACAACGCCATCCAATTGCAAAGGAAATGAAAGAACTTCAAAGGAGAAAGAGACAAAGGAAGAAGAAGAGAGAAGAAAGCCAGAAGAAGAAGAAGAAGATGTACACCAGCAAAAGACCAATGGCAAATCCCTTTCTCTCGCCAACCAATCTCCTCCTCCTTATCTCTCTCATTCTTATCAACAATAAATAATAATAATAACAATTAATGGCTGAACCAGAACCAATGTCTGAATCTCCCTCTTACTGCTGGCACAACATGACGTCCGTAACAGCCATGACCTCCTCCTCCATCCACCTTGGACAGGTGACGGCTATGGCATACAACTAAGGGCCCAGCCCCGATGTTCAAAAGACAACGCAAAAGCAGCTATGTCCTCTACACCTCAGATCACCATGCCTTACACTGCCCTGAAGCCGTTTTGTTGCAGCGCTACCCCTCTTGGGGCCTTCCAGATGCAGTGCCTACCAAGGAGATGAAGATGGCGTCCACCATAGCCAGGTAAGTACCCCTGGCCACTCTCCTCCTTGTCCCCTTCTTCCTCCTCCTCCTCCCTGGTGCGGTCCACCATAGCCACGGTGGAAGCTCAGGTGCTCCTCCACCCGGCGCTCCACACATCGCACTTCCAACCAACGTTCCAGCAGCGTGACACCCCAACTTGCACACTGTAAATGAGGAAGAACAGCTCGTTCTTTCCTGGAGATATTGTGGGCAACCAGCCTGTTGAGCGGTGACTTCCAGGTCACGCAGCCTCCCAAGCAATCAGTACCTAGACCTAGGCCTACCGGACTCTCTAGAAATCACACAGCCTCTAAAGGCACTAACTTTTTGTCTTCTTCTGCTCGGCCTACCGCTACTCAAGTACTACCGGGCCTACAATACCGCCTCTCGAGTGTGCCCCTAAGCTAGCCCATCGGCCGCCTGAGTGTTTCCCCGCTGCAACCGTCACGGTCACAGGTAAGTATTGGCCCTGATGACCTCCCCAACAAACAAGTACCCTGGTGGGTCACACCCACACTCAGGCAGACATGCACTCAGACAGACACACCTAAACCAGCAAGCACGCACACATGGAGACTTAGAATCACAGCAGAAAGCGGAAATCTCAGCACAGCACACATTCCAATAGCAAAACTAAGAAATCAGCAGTGTTCTCGATCTGTGTTTTTGGAGGTCATTACACTTCCCCCCCCTCAACAGCAAGGTCCCTTCAAGCGAGTAACTCAATCTGAGTCCCAACAAAATGCATCACAAGCAAATATGGCAAAGAGAGCTATTGGATGTTTAATGGCAGTGAGAGCCGCAGAGAATTTTAGCTGCTGATCGGAAACGATCTGTCATTCATAAGCTTTGAGGACTCAAGGTTCGTTCTTCAGTAAGTCGTTCTTGGAAATGCATTAGAGATCATCCAACGAGTGATAGAGAAAATGAACTTGATACTGTCTGTTTCTCTGTTTCCCACTCATACCATGATAGGCTCACGATAAGGAAAAGATTCAGGAGCAACATAAACGTGTGAAAGACCAGATACGTGCCCAGATGAGGAGGCATGCCAATGACATATGAAGGACCAAAGGAATCATCCCCTACCACCTTTCTAGGGACCATAGTACAAAGGAAGTAGTTTACGTGACACACCCTCTTCTTCTGAAGACTCAGACATCTTTACCCAAACATAACTTCCCACACCTTTTTGTTAGCAAATTCTTTGGTCATTGCTGCAACAACAACTTTGAGCAAGTGATCGTACTTGGCACTATAGCCAAACATGCGAGGCGTTAAACCAGGCGACTGATCAGGGAACAAGAAGGAGAGAGGGTTGCGAATCTGCCAACCGAGGTCCAACCTGTTTGGTGCCATACCGGTGGTGGAGTGAATGAAGTTTTGTACAACCCCTTCACCGCATGCAACTTTTTATCCCCTGAGTTATGATCGGGAACAATAAGAGCACATAGAAGTTGTGTAACAGTCTGGTTGATCCAGCCAATCCTTTGGCTTCGGGATGTCAACCAGATATCATCTTCGGTTTGGTGTCCTAGAGTCGAGAAGTGAAGTCCTCCCAATCTGCACTTATGAATCAGGTATCCCGATCACTCACAAGAGTTTTCGGGAGGGCATATTGCAAAATGTACTTCTGATGCAACTCACGGATCACAAGAACAATTGGGGCGTGAGGTTGCAATGAAATCAGATTCCATAACTTGAAAAAATGGTCAGCAATCACCATAACATGTGAGTAACCTCTCTCACTTACCTTACCCATGTCCATAAAGTCAATACAAACTAACTTCCGAGGACCATCAAGAGTGGCGAGAGGTTTGAGCATCCTATATGGCTTTTGTCGAGATGGCTTGATCCGTTGACAAACTTGACACTCAACCATAAATTTGTGGGCATATCCATTCATTCCAGGCCAATGAAATTCTCGCAACAGACTTCTGTACGTTTTCTCAAAACCAAAGTGTCCACTCCAGCCATAATGCAAGTCCAAGAAATGAGTGCAGAGAGGCTCATGGTTGGGTACACACAAATGGTCGAACTTTTCGTAGCGTCGGAACAACACCCTCACTCTCATGAAACTCAGGCTGACTGTTGGAGTCAGCCTTGAGCTGCTCAAGGATAGGACTGAGTTTCAGATCCTTAGTAGTGTGCTCTGCCAACTCCGCCTTCAGTTTCCTTTAAGGTTGTAGGAGTCCACAATCCAAGTCATAAATTTAGGGTGGTGAGACAAAACATCGGCAAATTGATTGTCACAGCCTTTCTTATGCTTCGATTCAAAATCATACAAAGGGATTTCATGCAGTCAGCCAGTCGGTGTTGTAGATAGAGTAGTTTGCGACTTGATCCACTGCGAAGTCTGATGGTCTGAAAATGCTTTGAAGTAACGACCCAAGGGATAGTGTTTCCGATGCTCAAATTGTTCTCTCAAGGCATAGAGTTCACACACGATAGAGTAGTTTGCGACTTTATCCACTGATGGTCTGAAAAAACTTTTAAATAACGACCCAAGGGATAGTGTTTCCAATGCTCAAATTGTTCCCGCAAGGCATAGAGTTCACACATGCACGTGGAAGTAGCTACTTTTTCACTGGGCATTCTTTTGTTGTAGTACTCGAGCGGATGCAAGCCGTCACCATCATCTTGTTGCAACATTGTGACAATCCCATACTGACTCACATCCGTAGTGACTAAGAAAGTGAAGTTGGGATCCGCAATGTGGAGGATAGGATGACTCGCCAAAGCCTCCTTCAAGGCTTGAAAAGCGGTCTTGCATGCATCACTCCATGTGTCAGATACATTCTTACTAGTTAGTCTAGAAAATGGGTGAGCAATGACATAAAACTTGGGAACAAACTTTCGGTACTACGACGCAAAACCAAGAAAAGAACACAATTCACAGACATTCACCTATTGGGGCCAACTGCGAATGATCTCAACTTTGGTTGCCTCGGGCTCAAGGCCTGATGTTGTCTCTCCCAAACTTTGATCTCTCCAGTTGAGATGCAGTTCTGAATATTTGAGGATACTTAACCCTTCCTCAGGGTGTCTCAACTGCTCATCCATAGACTTGTTGGATATCATAGACAACAACGAATCGATTAATCCGATCTTTGAACACCTTATCCAGGGGGCTTGGAAAGGTGGTCGGTGCTTCGTGAGACAAAAGGGCATGACGGTGAACTCGTACAGCCTACTGCGAGTTTTGAACGCAGTTTTCTGCTGGTTCACCGGATCGATTTCAATCTGGTAGTAACCAGACATGAGATTGATCTTGGAAAAGACCTTACACCCAACTACAATGTCTTAGTAGGTCATCGATGCATGGCAATGGGTAAACATTCTTCCTTGTAATTTTGTCGAGTCCACGGTAGTCAATACACTTCCGAAGTTTGTCACATTTCTTGAGCACAAACAAGACTGGTGTACCAAAGTCAGACTCACTAGGTCTAATCCATCCTTTGTCAATCATATCATAAATTCGTTCATAAGTTTCTCGACTTCGTCGGGTCCCATACGGCAGGCGCAACACTTTAGAGGAATGTTGTCATCCAGTAACTCGATTTTGTGTCTGGGGATGCACGGTAACTCCTTTAAGGAGGCTGCGGATATTTGCTCCAATGGGCTGCAAATATTTGTTGGGGGTGTTTTGAGCGTTGTAATGACCTGACCAAACACGAACTGAGACACACGACTGATTTTTTTGTTTTGCTCATGGACTGAATGCCTTACTGTGTTTCCCGCTTGTTACCGAGTTCTCTAAGTCTGTGTGTGTGCACACTTGCTGGTTTGCATGTTTGTCTGAGTGCTTGCCGGCTTGAGTGTGTGTGTGACCCACAAGGGCACTTGTTCGTTCAATGGCCCGAAGGGTCGGTACTTACCTGTGGCTGTGACATTGAGGATTGCATCGGGGGAAAACACTCAAGTGGTGGGGAAAGAGGCCCGCCACACTCGAAGCAGCGAAAAACACTCAAGTCGCGGGTAGGTCGGTACCACACCATGTAGAGGTAGATGTGCCGGGTACTCGAGGCCA